GCATGCTCAGGAGATCCTCCCTGTCTCAACTTTGGGGTCACTCCAGGGGAGATAAATTCACCCCCGGAACCACTGGCGGGGACATTCAAACACTGTCCCCAGGCAGGCAGGCTGGTGTGGTGGGTGGGACAGGTCTGTACGGGCGGGACAGTGGCTAGCAGGAAGCAGATTTGCCGGGATTCAAACCACTTCCTGTCCTGGGTGGAGCACCTTCTGGGTGCCTTTCCTGGGTGCCGAGAGCAGGAAGGAGGGTGGAGAAGCAGGGGACCCCAGTCTGTCCCTGACTGGACCTTCCAAGTGACTCTGGGACTTTGTTTACTGTTCATTTGCTTTTGGTCACACCCAGCAGTGCTCAGGGCTGACTCCTGGCTCTGCACTCAGGGATGCCTCCTGGTGGGGTTTGGGTGATCACAGGGGATGCCGGGGATTGGTGCTGGGTGGGCCGTGAGCTTTGCAAGTGTCTATTGCTCCAGCCCCGCGTGTAGCCTTTTGTCTTAGAGCTGTGTGTGTGTGTGTGTGTGTGTGTGGTGCGCATAGATGTAGGAACCCTCCTTCCACCAGTGATGCTCAAGCACCTGTGTGTGTGTGGTGTGTATAGATGTAGGAACCCTCCTTCCACCAGTGATGCTCAAGCATGTGTGTGTATGTGTGTGTGTGTGTGTGTGGTGCACATAGACATAGAAACCCTCCTTCCACCAGTGATGCTCAAGCATGTGTGTGTACATATGTGTGTGTGTGGTGTGGTGCCCACAGATGTAGAAACCCTCCTTCCACCAGTGATACTCAAGGACCTGTGTGTACGTGTGTGTGTGTGTGTGGTTTGCATAGATGTAGGAACCCTCCTTCCACCAGTGATGCTCAAGCACGTGTGTGTACATATTGTGTGTGGTGTGGTGCACACAGATGTAGAAACCCTCCTTCCACCAGTGATGCTCAAGCATGTATGTGTATGTGTGTGTGTGTGTTTCGCATAGATGTAGGAACCCTCCTTCCACCAGTGATACTCAAGCACGTGTGTGTACATGTGTGTGTGTGTGGTGCGCATAGATGTATAAACCCTCCTTCCACCAGTGATGCTCAAGCACGTGTGTGTGTGTGTGTGGTGTGCATAGATGTAGAAACCCTCCTTCCACCGGTGATGCTCAAGCACCTGTGTGTATGTGTGTGTGTGTGTGTGTGGTTCGCATAGACATAGGAACCCTCCTTCCACCAGTGATGCTCAAGCACGTGTGTGTACATGTGTGTGTGTGTGGTGTGCATAGATGTAGAAACCCTCCTTCCACCGGTGATGCTCAAGCACACGTGTGTACATGTGTGTGTGTGTGTGTGGTTCGCATAGATGTAGGAACCCTCCTTCCACCAGTGATGCTCAAGGACCTGTGTGTACGTGTGTGTGTGTGGTTCGCATAGATGTAGGAACCCTCCTTCCACCAGTGATACTCAAGGACCTGTGTGTACGTGTGTGTGTGGTTCACATAGATGTAGAAACCCTCCTTCCACCAGTGATACTCAAGGACCTGTGTGTACGTGTGTGTGTGTGTGTGTGGTTTGCATAGATGTAGAAACCCTCCTTCCACCAGTGATGCTCAAGGACCTGTGTGTACGTGTGTGTGTGTGGTTCGCATAGATGTAGGAACCCTCCTTCCACCAGTGATGCTCAAGGACCTGTGTGTACGTGTGTGTGTGTGTGTGTGTGGTGTGCATAGATGTAGGAACCCTCCTTCCACTGGTGATGCTTAAGCATGTATGTGTGTGTGTATGGTGTGCATAGATGTAGAAACCCTTCTTCCACCACTGATGCTCAAGCACGTGTGTGTACATATTGTGTGTGGTGTGGTGCACACAGATGTAGAAACCCTCCTTCCACCAGTGATGCTCAAGCATGTATGTGTATGTGTGTGTGTGTGTGTTTTGCATAGATGTAGGAACCCTCCTTCCACCAGTGATACTCAAGCACGTGTGTGTACATGTGTGTGTGTGTGGTGCGCATAGATGTATAAACCCTCTTTCCACGAGTGATGCTCAAGCACGTGTGTGTGTGTGTGTGGTGTGCATAGATGTAGAAACCCTCCTTCCACCGGTGATGCTCAAGCACACGTGTGTACATGTGTGTGTGTGTGTATGGTATGGTGCCCACAGATGTAGAAACCCTCCTTCCACCAGTGATACTCAAGCACGTGTGTGTACGTGTATGTGTGTGTAGTGTGCATAGATGTAGAAACCTTCCTTCCACCGGTGATGCTCAAGGACCTGTGTGTACGTGTACGTGTGTGTGTGGTTCGCATAGACATAGGAACCCTCCTTCCACCAGTGATGCTCAAGCATGTGTGTGTATGTGTGTGTGTGTGGTGCGCATAGATGTAGGAACCCTCCTTCCACCGGTGATGCTCAAGGACGTGTGTGTGTGTGTGTGTGTGTGGTGTAGGAACCCTCCTTCCACCAGTGATGCATGTATGTGCACGTGTGTACGCATGTGTGTGTGTGTGTGTGTGTGTGCGCCTGTGCCCACAAGCCCTGCCCTTGCTCAGCCACTGGCAGCAGAGGGAAGATACATGGGAAGATTGATGGGAAGGAGAAGTGTATAAATCCAAGACATAATCCTGATGAGACAGCAAAAGGACCCTTGATGGCTTCCCGGGGAATAATCTTGACCTAGCTGGGAGAGGGGGGTGGGCCCTGGGAATGCCTCGGGGTGGGGGTTTATCTCCAGCCTGTGTCATGGGGGGGACGTGATAGAAACCCCAAGGGGCAGACGGAGCCATTTGGCACACCCCGGCATAATGAAACGGGCTTGGAGGGATATTGACTGGAGGAAAGGGGGGAGCCACAGCTCTTTGGGGAGAGACAGATGCCCGCTGAGCTCTTGGCAGTGAGATACTAACACCGCCTGCCCAGCAGTGGCCAGGAAAGGAGCGAGCAGAGTGCAGTCCTTGCCAATGACAGGCACTGAGGGTGTCGTGAAGCCGTGAGTCTAATGGGTGGTCTTGGAGGACAGGAGGTTCAAAAGGGAAGCTCATCTGCTACTCTGAGCCTCAAATGTGTATCCAGTCCTTCCCTGGATTTTTATTAACCTAGGTGATTTTAGTAATTTAAATAATGCATGTAAGACTTACAGTTCTTGCCACAAGAAAAAAAGAAAAAACTACTCCTATGTAAGTAGTACTCTAGCACTGCACTGTGGCACTGTCCTCCTGTTGTTCATCGATTTGCTTGAGCGGGCACCATTAACGTCTCCATGGTGAGACTTGTTGTTACTGTTTTTGGGGTTTTTTTTGTTTTTTTTTTTTTTTGCTTTTTGGGTCACACCTTCCGATGCACAGGGGTCACTCCTGGCTCCGCACTCAGGAATCACCCCTGGCGGTGCTCAGGGGACCATATGGGACGCTGGGAATCGAACCCAGGTTGGCCGCGTGCAAGGCAAACGCCCTACCTGCTGTGCTATTGCTCCAGCCCTTGTTACTGTTTTTGGCATATGGAATATGCCACAGGGCACTTGCCCGGCTCTGCTGTGCGGGCGGGATACTCTCGGTAGCTTGCTGGGGTCTTCGAGAGGGGCAGAGGAATCGAACCCGGGTCGGCCACGTGCAAGGCAAATGGCCTACCTGCTGTGCTATCGCTCCAGCCCTGTGTAAGTGCTCAGAGATAACCCCTGTCTCTGTGGTCAGGGTTCACTTATGGTGGGGCTCAAGAGACCATATGGGGAGCAAAACCACCTTGGTTGTATTCAAGGCAAGCTCCCTGCACACTGTACTACCCTGCCAGTCCAACAACTCTTTTTTTCTTTTCTTTTTTGCTTTTTGGGTCACAGCTGGTGATGCACAGGGGTTACTCCTGGCTCTGCACTCAGGAGTCACTCCTGGCAGTGCTCAGGGGACCCTATGGGATGCTGGGAATCGAACCCAGGTTGGCCACGTGCAAAGAAAACACCCTACCCGCTGTGCTATTGCTCCTTCCCCACGATAATTCATTTTTCCCCCTATTTAAACTGTTTACTAGGCCAGTGCTGGTACAGATGAATTGATAATAATGCCCAGGGCATCTCCACTGGGTTTTATTCTCTCCTTTCACTTATGATAATGGACTACCTCTTTGCTTTGAGTGAAATTGTTGTGAGCGCTTGCTTCATTTGAAGGGATAAACGAGGAAAGGAAGGAAGGAAGGATGGAAGGAAGGAAAGAAGGAAGGAAGGAAGGAAGGAAGAAATGAGGGAAGGAAGGAAGGAAGGAAGGAAGGAAGGAAGGAAGGAAGGCACAAATGTGTAGAGATGGATTGTTGGATAGATGCTTGCGTCACTGGATAGACAGGACACATGTATGGATGAATAGTTGAATGGATGCATGGATGGATGGATGAATGGTTAGGTGTTTGGATAGTTGAGTGGTTGGATGCATGCATGGATGGATACATGGGTGGATGGTTGATGCGTGGAAGACAGGATGGATGGATGGTTGGATGAAGGCATGCATGCATGGATAGAAGTGTGAATAGTTGGATGTATGCATGCATAATTCAATGGATGGTTGGTTAAATGATTACATAGTTGGATGGATGGATGGATGGATGGATGGATGGAGTGTGCATAGATGGATGCATGGACAGTTGGATGGGTGAATAGATTAATCAATAGGTTGGAGGGTTGAATGGTTGGATAGATGGATAGGTAGATGGCTAGATGAATGGATAATGGTTGAGTGGTTGGTTGGGTGGATGGATGGCTATGTAGATGAGCAGATGGATTGATGGTTGAATGGTTAATTGGATAATGGTTGGATGGATGAATGGATGGATGGATGGATGGGATGGTGATATAGTTGGATGGTTAGTTGGTTAGATAATGGGTGGATGATAGTTTGATGGTTGGATGGTCTAATTGTTGGATGGTTTACGTGAGCATGTGGATGGATCAATAGGCGGTAGATGCATGATGAGCAGATAGCACTGACTCTTTGTGCTACAAGACCATCTTCTCCCCACCTCCCCTCATTGTCCTCACCCCATAGGGCGGCATGATCGCTCTGCTGCTGTCCATCCTGTGCCTGGTGATGATTCTGTACACCCGCCGTCGCTGGTGCAAGCGCCGCCGGGTCCCCAGCCCCAGAAGAGCGCCAGCGCCGAGGCCGCCAACGAGATCCACTACATCCCGTCCGTGCTGATCGGCGGGCATGGCCGCGAAAGCCTGCGCAATGCCCGCGTGCAGGGCCACAACTCCAGTGGCACGCTGAGCATCCGGGAGACGCCCATCCTGGACGGGTACGAGTATGACATCACCGACCTGCGCCACCACCTGCAGCGGGAGTGTATGAACGGAGGGGAGGACTTCGCCAGTCAGGTCACACGCACCCTCGACTCCCTGCAGGGCTGCAACGAGAAGACGAGCATGGACTTGACTCCAGGTAGGAGGGGGGAGCATGCGAGGGTGGCCTTCGCAGGGCGAGGGGATTGATGGGGGGGGGGTTGGGACTGGGGGTGCTGGTCATCAGATATAATGGGATGGGCCACAGACAGCCTCATACTAGAGGACTCAGCCCTTTTAAAAAAAATGGTTGATTCACCATGAGATACAGTTACAAGCTTTCATGTTTGAGTTACAATCACACAATGATCAAACACCCATCCCTCCACCAGTGCCCATTCCCCACCACCAATATCCCCAGTGTGCCTCCACTTTCCCACCCTCCCCCTGCCTCCATGGCAGACAATATTCCCCATACTCTCTCTCTACTTTTGGGCATTATGGTTTGCAATGCAGATAATAAGAGGTTATCATTTTTGGTCCTTTATCTACTTTCAGCACACATCTCCCATCCCGACCGATTCTTCCAACCATCATTTCCTTAGTGATCCCTTCTCTATTCCAGCTGTCCTCTCTCTTCCGCTCATGAGACAGGGTACCAACAATGAAGCAATCTTCCTGACCCTTATTTCTATTGTCCTTGGCTGTTGGTCTCGTATTATGTTATTTTATACTCCACAAATGAATGCAGTCTGTATCTCTCTTTCTGACTCATTTCACTTAGCATGATACTCTCCATGTCCATCCACTTATAAGCAAATTTCATGACTTCATCTCTCCTAACAGCTGCATAGTATTCCATTGTGTAGATGTACCAAAGTTTCTTTAACCAAAGTTTGTCTGTTCTCGGGGCACTTGGGTTGTTTCCAGATTTGGGCTATTGTGAACAGTGGGACTCAGACCTTTCCTGATAGGCACTCACTCCACTTCCTCTTTGTGTCCTCAGGAACGAGGCTTCTTCCTTTATAAGGGAGCAGGTCTTGGGGTCATTGGGATACGGCAGGAAAGAGCAGATTTCTGCACCGCATGTCCGTGGGGGGTGTTTAATCAACCTTGAAAGTGGAGAGGATAGAGGTTCCTGTTGTCCATGCCTGCCCCCACCGAGAGATGTGGCCCAGAGGGCTTAGGTTGTGCCCTTGTGGTTGTGCCCCAGCCTGAGTGGTCTTTCTAGGAAATGGTTCTTCTTCAAAGAAAGTGAAAGATGGACTAATCTTAGATGCTCAATGTTGAGGGGCCAGTGGGCCATGAGATCCAAGAGGACTGGAATCAGTCGAGTCCACAGAACAGGCGGCTACACAATGCTGAGAGGACACAGCCACGTGTCTCTCCTAGTAGTCCAGTGGTCATAGCCACGCACATCTACAAAGCAGCAAAACTTCACAGATAAAACCCCGAACTGAGGGCCCTTCCAGAGTCAGCTCAGTTATCCTGGAAGAAAACTTTGTAAACAAAGATTCTGAATATTGATTAAGGTGATTGGATAGGAGAGACACGTTGGAGGGGTTCCAGTTGGCTGGTGCATGTAAAAGAGATCCTAGATGAAAAATCACTTCCTGGGAGGTTTGAAAGTCTGGGACTTTCCCAAGAACACAGGAAATGACTTCTATATCTCATGTTCCCTCCAACCCCAGAAACAGTGCTCAGCTCCCTCAGCAGACATGTTATCCCTCGGGGGTTACCAGTACAAATGCATTCAGGTAGCAGGCCGATAGCACAGTTGTGTGAAGTGGCTGGGGAGGAGTTGAGCATTCAGGACATGGTGGTGAATGAGGTGTATGAGAGGGCCCATCCTGCCTGAGTGTTCTTGATTCACACTGTGACCGGTTGGTTAAATGGTTGGGTAGTTGAGTGGTTGGATGCATGGATGGACAGATGGTTGGATGAATTATGCATGCGTGGATGGGTAGATGCAGGAATAGTTGGATGGATGAATAATCAATGACTTGGATGATTGAATGGTTGGATAGGTGAATGTATGGATGGTTGGATGTATGGATAGATGAATAGATGGATGGTTGGATGGATGGAGAGATGAATGGATGGATGGTTGGATGGTTGGAGGGATGGATAATGGATAGATGGGTGGATGGGTGGATGGATGGATGGATGATGGTTGGGAGGATGAATAATGGTTGGATGGTTGAATGAATGGATAATGGATAGATGGGTGGATGGATGGATAATGTTTGGGAGGATGAATGATGGTTGGAAGTTGGATGTATAAATGATGGGTGGATGGGTGGATGATGGTTGGATGGATGGATAATGGGTAGATGGGTGGATGGTTGAATGGATGGATGATGGTTTGGATGGATGATGGTTGGATGGATAGATGATGATTAGTTGGGTCGATGGATGCATGGACTCTCAAACTGCTGAAAGAAGGGACAGAAATAAAAATCCCTCCTCCAGGCTCCACAGGGTGACCCTGTCCATCCAGAATCTGCTGAATTGGATTTCCCATCCTAATCCCTCCCTTCTTACTCTTTTTTTGATTTACAAATCAGCTGTGTTTCAGGTTCTGCTGATCCCTCCTTGGAAGGGTCCTGATTCCATTGATAGGGCTTGAAAAAATGCGGATTTTTTTGTTGGGGCGTTGTCCATTGGGGAGCTCCCAAGTGGGGCTCAGTATTCCCTGGGGCATTCTGATACTAATGATACCCAACAGAGCCAGCAGTTCAGTGCCAGGGACTGAGAATGCTGAGACTCTCAGGCAATTCTTGGGGCCCTTCGGGGCTACCCCAAACAATGTGCAGGAGGCCCTGTGGTGCCAAGGATTGAATTGGGGTTGTCTGCTTGCAAGGTCATCCCCCTTAGTCCCCCATCCTGTCTCTCCAGTTTCCTGTTCTTCCTTTCTTTGACTTTTTTTTCCTGTTCCAACTCTGGCCTCAACTTCTCCTCCCACAGGAAGCGACAACGCCAAGCTGTCACTGATGAACAAGTATAAAGATAATATCATCGCCACCAGCCCCGTGGACTCCAGCCACCAGCAGGCCACACTCCTGTCCCATACCTCCACCACCCAAAGAAAGCGAATCAACAATAAAGCGAGAGGTAAGTCTGCCTCCCTGGCCAGTGGGGCATGTTCTGAACCACCTTTCTGGAGGCTGTGGGGGGCCACTGAATCCAAATTTAAGTAGCTAGGCTTTGACAAGAATGTATGCCTGGTAGCTCGGGCATGCGGGAGCCAGGACATTTACTCCAAACCACATGGCTGCTTATGTGGGCGCGTGCCATCTTCTTGTATGCAGGGTAATCAGTGGAAAGTAAATCATCCAACGTTTCTCCCTAAAAATCAGGTTTAACTATTTTGCAAACCACAACACCCAAAAGGTGAGAGAGAACAGAGGGGAATGCCCTGCCACAGAGGCAGGGTGGGATGGGGGAGATGGGGGGTGGGAGGGATACTGGGATCCGTGGTGGTGGGTAATGGTCACTGGTGGAGGGATGTGTATTCAAAATAAATAAATTTAAAAAAAACGAATGTATGCCTGGGCCATCACTTGACAATTGTGCCAAGTGGTATGTCGAAGGGGGTTATTTTGTTTGGGTCTCAAGGTGCCCAGAGATGGTTAGAGCTTTAGAGAATGACCAGCAGCAGAGCACGGGTGAGTTTCTTGTCCATCTTCCTGCTGGCCAGTGACTTGTCCTGCAGATGTTTAAGCTGATGGAGCAGCTCCCCTCAGAGAAGGTAGATGCAGCCCCAAGTGACTGTCAGAAGAGGGAAGAAAAAAAGAGTTGATCAAATGGCAGTTCCCGCAGAATGCTATGTTTCTGGGCAAATATTCAGACATTCACGCATTTCAGGACAGGGCAGTAGATGCTGAAGGATTGGACAATATAGACTTGAGACCATGCCCACTCGCTCCCAGGGTCCAGCGTGGTTTCATGCTTGTCTCGTTTGGATTCTAGAAATGTTTGCTCTTCTGTCCCTGAAAATGGGATTCCAGGGGCCAGAGAGGTAGCGCAGGGCTGATGGCGGTTGCCTTGGCTAAACCCAGTTGGGTTTGTGGTGCTGGACCAGGGACCCCCGAGAAACCCTGGATGTCACCCCAACCCTGTTCCCTCCATAGAGTCACTCCAAGTTAGATGACTGAGAACCAGGAACTATGAGGAGCAAAGTTCCTTTCTCTCCTATACTGCCTTCCACATCGGCGGTGTCCTTGCTTCCTAGGGCCATGGGGGATGGGACGGGGACCCTCGTGGCTTTCATTGGGGGATCCTGTCCCCTAAATAAATCTGCGAAGGGTTGGAGCAATAGCACAGCGGGGAGGGCCTTTGCCTTGCACGCGGCCAACCCGGGTTCGATTCCCAGCATCCCATATGGTCCCCTGAGCACCGCCAGGGGTAATTCCTGAGTGCAGAGCCAGGAGGGACCCCTGTGCATTGTCGGGTATGACCCAAAAAAGGCAATAAATAAATAAATAAATAAATAAATCTATGAATAGAAAGTTTTCATCTCCCCGTGGTTCCCCCCTGCTCTCAGCTAAGGATTTGACCAGTAATGAGGCACCCTGAAAGCCCCCTAAATATTTTGCCTTTGTCCCCCTTCTCTTCTCTGCAGCCGGTTCTGCCTTCCTGAACCCCGAAGGGGATTCTGGCACCGAGGCAGAGAACGACCCGCAGCTGACCTTTTACACCGACCCCTCTCGGAGCCGAAGGCGCAGTCGAGGTAGAAAGGGGCCTGGAGGGTAGGGGGTGTTTGGAGAAGGGGGGCCTACGGGGGCTCAGTTGGGATCGCGGAGATGGATCAAAGTGCATGGGGAGCCATCTGGGTACCACAGAGTCTACCGCTGTGGGGAGGTGACCCAGAAAGGGGAAATTGGGAGACCCCCCTCTCCCCGCAATGATGCTCAGAGTGTCTGAGAAACAGAAGTGCCCTGAAACTGTCCTTCCTTCCTTCCTTCCTTCCTTCCTTCCTTCCTTCCTTCCTTCCTTCCTTCCTTCCTCCTTCCTTCCTTCCTTCCCTTTCCTTTCTTCCTTCCCTCTCTCCCCTTCCTTCTTTCCTTCCTTCCTTCCTTCCTTCCCTCCTTCCTTCCTTCCTTTCTTCCTCCTTCCTTCCTTCATCCTTCCTTCCTTCCTTTCTTCTTCCTTTCTTCCTTCATCCTTCCTTCCTTCATTCATTCATTCTTCCTTCCTTCATCCTTCCTTTCTTCTTCCTTTCTTCATTCCTTCTTCCTTCCTTCATTCTTCCTTCCTTTCTTCCCCTTCCTTTCTTCCTTCCTTCCATCTTCCTTCCTTCCATCTTCCTTACTTCCTTTATTTCTTCCTTCTTCCTTTTTTCCTTCATTCTTCTTTTATTCCTTCTTCCATTCTTCCTTTCTTTCTTCTTCCTTCCTTCCCTACTTCCTTTATCCTTCCTTCCTTCCTTCTTCATTTTTTCTTTCATTCTTCCTTCATTCCTTCCTCCATTCTTCCTTCCTTTCTTCCCCTTCCTTCCCTACTTCCTTTATCCTTCCTTCCTCCTTCCTTCCTTCCTTCTTCCTTTCTTCCTTCCCCTTCCTTCCTTCCTTCCTTTCTTCCTTCCTTCGTTTCTTCCCCTTCCTTCCTTCCTTCCTTCCTTCCTTCCTTCCTTCCTTCCTTCCTAAGTTGGGGCAGCACTAGCTCCCTCTGCCGGGCTGTTCCCTGTCCTCACCTGGTGACGTTACTGCCACCACCTCCTGGCTGGAGACTCATCTGGGTGTCGGTGTCACTAGCTTTGCCCTTTCTCTCCTGTGTGATGTTGACAAAAGCCACGACCTCTCTGAGCTTCATGTCAACCCTTCATCTGTAGAGTGGATGCCCAGGGTCTCAAATCAGTTGTGAAAGCCACTGTTGGCACCCCTGAGCTCTCCCTGTCATCTCCGATTGTCATCTTCAGAGCTGCTCCGACAGCAGCCTGGGACCCCACAGTGCTCAGTTCCAGGAGTTTGGGCCAGACATAACTCAGGTAGCTAGACCAGATGGTAGCCGCCATATTAAACTTCTTGTCCTTGCTTGTAAATCCCATCTTCTGGGTGCTTTTGAGATTTTTAAAAAATGCTACTTGGGGGCTGGAGTGATAGCCCAGTAGGGAGGGCGTTTGCCTTGCACGCGGCTGACCCGGGTTTGATTCCCAGCATCCTCTAGGGTCCTCTGAGCATTGCCAGGAGTAATTCCTGAGTGAAGAGCCAGGAGGAACCCCTGAGCATCACCGGATGTGACCCAAAAAGCAAAAAAAAAATGCTATTTTGGTAAACCACAATACCCAAAATGTGGGGGGGAGAAGAGAGAGAGAAAGAAAGAGAGAGAGGGGGAGGAGAGAAGAGAGAGAGAGGAGAGAAGAGAGAGAGAGGAGAGAAGAGAGAGAGCCATTATAGAGACAGATGGGGGGAGGTGATAAGAGGGAACCTGGGGACACTGGTGCCGGGAAATGTGCCCTGGTGGAGGAATGGGTGTTGGAACACTGTAGGACTGAAACACAATCACGAACAGCTTTGTAAAATGGTCTATATCACAGTAATTCAATTAAAAAAAATTTTTTTTGGAATTGTTCTCGAATGTCTTCGGGTTTTTTCCTTTCTTATTTCTTATTTATTTATTTTATTAGTGAAACACCATGAGGTACAGTTGTAGACTTACTAATTTTTGTGCTTGGGTTTCAATTGTACAATGATCAAACACCCATCCCTCCACCAGTGCCCATTTCCCACCACCACTGATCCCAGTATCCCTCCACCCCCCCATCCCCCCATCCCACCCTGCCTCTGTGGCAGGGCATTCCCTTTTGTTCTCTCTCTCCTTTTGGGTCCTGTGGTTTGCAAGAGAGGCATTGAGTGGCGATCATGTTTGGTCTACGGTCTACTTTCAGCACAGAAAGCAACAAAATGGGAGACTAACACCCAGGAGTGTCCAAGATTAGTACCAGGAATTTTGCTCCATGACTTGGAGGCCAGCCACACACGCTAGGGGAAAGGGAAGCTCAGATAGAGAAGAGAGCACCAAATAAAAGGTGTTGGGAGGATCCTCCCAGGGTGGGAGAAGCATGCTGAAAAAAAATTTTTAAAGGAAGAATTATGTGCAAGAAAATGTATATCTTTTTCAATTGAAGAAATGAAAATAAAAAGTACTCAAGTAGAATTGCCTGAGGGGAAAAATGCTACTTCCCTCCACTGGAACACCCTGATCTTATCAGAGGTCCCCCAACTTATACGTATGCATATACAACCACTTAGCAATCCCATCTCCTGAAAATGCGCGCTCATTAGCCAACAAACACAACCCACCTCCCAGTGCTCAATAGGTTTGAGTGGGCTTGTTCTCCCAACACCACCTTGTGAAATACTGGCAATGCGCCCCACCCCACTCTTGAATCATGATAAAATAAAAATGTTGGGGGTGGAGGCTGGAGCGATAGCACAGCAGGGAGGGCGTTTGCCTTGCATGCGGCCGACCTGGGTTCAATCCCCAGCATCCCATAGGGAACCCCCTGAGCACTGCCAGGAGTGATTCCTGAATGCAGAGCCAGGAGGAACCCCTGTGCATCGCCGAGTGTGACCCAACAAGCAAAAAGGATTTCCACGCAAGTACGAGAAGTTCAATATGGGGGTGACCATTTGGAACTTAAGCAAGCAGGGCTTTGGGGGTGTAGGAGTGGGTCAGGCTAGGAGGATTCTGCAGAGACATGTGGCTATTTACACCAGGGCCCAGGAGTGCTCTGGGAGTTTTGGGGACGAGAGAGAGAGAGAGAGAGAGAGAGAGAGAGAGAGAGAGAGAGACTGGTTGGTGACTTGAATCTGTCGCTCAGCCAGAGAGGCAAGAAGAGGATCAGCAAGTTACTGCCGTCCTGGAGTTCCAGAGTCCTGGCAAGTCACCGTAAAGTGACAACACTGTCATAAAGACTGATGTCCAGACAAGTGGGTGGGGCGTGCTTGCTATTCTGGAAGGTTCCAGGGGCGTGTTTACAGAGCGTTGCTGTTGGAGGGGGGTTGTAATGATTAGGCGTCTGTGGAGGAGGGAGTGAAAAGTGGCAGAGCAGAAGGAATATCTGTGACAGTGGCCGGGTCAGAAGAGCCACGTAGAAGAGCTATGCCACTTCAGGGGACAGATTTGGGGGTGGCTTTGTAGACAGAAAACCGGAGACGCCAGCGAGCACCTGAACTTGGCCCAAGCACCCAAGGGCAGTACTTGAGCTCAATCTACGAACGTTTTCAGGGTGCTGTGTTCTGCGGGAGGAGGAGAAGAGGAGCAGATGGGGGAGGTTGAGGCAGGGAGGCAAGGTGCCTGACTAATGTCCTGGTCCAGATGAAAGAGGATAAAGGGAAGAGAGATGTTAGGAGCAAAAGGAAAGATGGCGTGATGGCGGTGGAGCCGTGGGGGAGCAGTGAGGTGTGTTATATGTGGAGGCAAGTGGGGTCCACAGACAGTGCAGGGCCTGGCCTCGCACGTAGCCAACCCCAGTTGGTTCATATCACGGTATATGCTTCCCCCAGCAGCGCCGTAAGTGAGCACAGAGCCGGGAGTAAGCTCTGAGGACGGCTGGCCCCCAAACCAAACATAGCACTATCACACTGTCCTCCCGTTGTTCATCGATTTGCTCCGGCGGGCACCAGTAAACGTCTCCATGGTGAAACTTGTTGTGACTGTGTTTGGCATCTCGAAGACGCTACGGGGAGCTTGCCAGGCTCTGCCGTGCGGGTGGGATACTCTCGGGAGCTTGGAATGGAGGAATTGAACCTGGGTCGGCCGCGTGCAAGGCAAACGCCCTCCCCGCTGTGCTATTGCTCCAGCCTGCCCCAAACCAAACCAAACCGAACTGGAAACTGTCTGCCTTGCTGACTCTCTCTCCCTTCACACGGGTCTCTCTTGCACACCTGCTCCTGTTCAACTGCAGAAAACTATCCTCTGTGGCTATCACTGACCCCAAGGACCACCCATTGGTTAAGTCCCTCTGGCTCCGCTGTGGATGTTCAGTGGTGGCCATGAGGTCCGGCTGCCAGAAGATCCCCCTGTCCCCTTGCTTCCTGGAACTATGGTTGGCCTCTGGGTCTCAAAGATGCCAGCCAGAGGGGCTGCAGTGATAGCACAGTGAATAGAGAGAGCATTTGCCTTGCACATGGCCAACCCGGGTTCGATCCCCAGCATCCCATAGGGTCCCCTGAGCACCGCCAGGGGTAAGTAATTCCCAAGTTCATGAGCCTGGAGTAACCCCTGTGCATCGCTGGGTGTGACCCCCCAAAAAAATTCAAGATGCTGACCAGAGAGTGACCACTGCGCGGAGCCTGACATGCTCGGGTCTCGCTTCTCTCTCGCCTCCAGTGGGCTCCCCCCGTAGCCCCGTGAACAAGACCACCTTGACGCTCATCAGCATCACCAGCTGCGTCATTGGCCTGGTATGCGCCTCCCACGTCAGCTGTCCGCTCGTGGTGAAAATCACGCTGCACGTCCCTGAACACCTGATCGCCGACGGTGAGTCCCGCCCGGGGGTTTCCCCCGACAAAGCGAATCTGTAAGGGAAGGGAGGGAGTCGTGGGGGAACAAGCAGAACCCCCACCCCACCAGCTGTGACCTGTGACTCGCAGCCAGGCAAACAAACAAGCCCAGAGGCTGAGTGAGGCTAAGTCCCATGGGGGCTGGAGCGATAGCACAGCGGGGAGGGCGTTGGCCTTGCATGCAGCCGATCCAAGTTTTATTCCCAGAATCCAATAGGGTTCCCCGATCACCGCCAGGAGTGATTCCTGAGTGCAGAGCCAGGAGTCAGCTCTGAGCATCGCTGGGTGTGACCCAAAAAGCAAAAGGAAGGAAGGGAGGGAGGGAGGGAGGGAGGGAGGGAGGGAGAAAGGAAGGAAGGAAGGAAGGAAGGAAGGAAGGAAGGAAGGAAGGAAGGAAGGAAGGAGAAAAAGAAGGAAAGGGAAGGGAAGGGAAGAAAGAGAAGGGAAAGAAAAGGAAGGAATGGAGGGAAGGAAGGGAGGGAAGGAAGGAAGGAAGGGAAGGAGGGAAAGAAGGAAGGGAGGAAGGAAGGAGGGAAGGAGAGAAGGAAGGAAGGGAGGGAGGGAGGGAGGGAGGGAGGAAGGAAGGAAGGAGGAAGGGAAGGAAGGAAGGAGGGAAAGGAGGGAAGGAGGGAAAGAAGGGATGGAGGGAGGAAGTAGGGAAAGAAGGGAAAGAAGGGAGGGAAGGAAGGAAGGAAGGGAGGGAGGAAGGAAGGAGGGAAAGGAGGGAAGGAGGGAAAGAAGGGAGGGAGATAGGAGGGAAAGGAGGGAAAGAAGGGAGGAAGGAAGGAGGGAAAGAAGGGAAGGAGGGAGGGAAGGAAGGAAGGAGAGAGGAAGGAACGAGAAAAAGAAAGAAAGGAAAGGAAAGGAAAGGAAGGAAGGGAGGGAGGGAGGGAGGGAGGGAGGGAGGGAGGGAGGGAGGAAGGAAGGAAGGAAGGAAGGAAGGAAGGAAGGAATTAGCCATGGATGTTTCTGTGAGGTGTAGGCTTCATCAGCAAAAAGCAAAAAAATAAAGTCCTAGGGGAGGCCAGTAGGCAGTAACCGCCAAGCCAGCTAGCCCCAGCTGTCTGCATGGCCTGCTGCCAGCCTGTTCCTGTCCGTTTTGGTAGGCGCCCCGTCTGTGTGGGGAAACGCAGATGCATGGGCCCCAGGCACATCGGTAACCCCTGCTCAGCCCAAGTGAAGGATTCGCCACGGCTGGCTGGGCCGTGCTCGGAGGAGAACTTGTCATTGCAGTGGCTGTTTGGAACCCTCCAGCGCCCAAGTATTAATTGACTTCAGTCCAACAGCAGCCCCTGGGGGGGGGGGGAGGGGGGAGTCATCTGGGTTCTGAGGGTCCCTGAATTAGTTCAGCCCCGAGCCCCCTAATGACGATGTAATCATCGTCTGCCGTTGGCTACAGGCGGGTGGGGGCCGTCTGCGGGGTCTGCAGGGCTGTGGGCTCAGGCCAGGCACAGACGGCAGGGCCCTGTGTCTTGGAGGGGTGCCAGGTGGGTGACGACTCTGCTGCTACTGTCTCTGTTGCCCACCCTGCAGTCTTCGAACGCCTGGGGATTTGGGCAGGGCCTGTGGCGGAGGTGGAGAGGACGGGTGGGTGTCTGCAGCCCAGCCTTTATGGGGGCTCAGGGTGGGGTGAGAATCGGGGCAGAGGGGAGGAATCACCTGGGGTCGGGGCTGCCCCCAGGGTGTCCCACCCCCATCTTCTCTGCATGTGCATCTCTGTGCATAACTGTGTGTGGCTCTGTGTATCTGCATGTGTTTGTATCAGTCTCTGCCTGGGTTTATCTGTGCGTGTCTGTATGTGAGTGTGCCCGGTGTGTGTCTGTATGTGTGTGTCTCTGTCTCTGCATGTCCCTGTGTCACTGTGTCACTGTAACTGTGTGTGTCTGTGATTCTGTGTGTGTGTCCACGTGACTCTCTGTGTATCTGTGTCTATTGCTGAATGCCTGTATGTGTTCATGTGTCTGTGTGTGTTCACATGTCTTTGTGGGTCTATGTGTCTGTTTGTCCACATGTCTGTGTGTGTCTAAGTCTGCATGTCTATGTGTCTGTGTGTCCGTGTGTCTGTGTGTCCATGTGTCTGTGTGTCCATATGTCTGTGTCTGTGTATCTGTGTCCATGTGTGTCTTGTGTACAGATGTTCCCACGTGTGTGTCCATGAGTCTACAAGTCTGTGAGCATGTGTTTGTGCATGCCTCTCTGTGAGGCTCTGTGTGACCTGTTTCTGTCCGTGTCCTCTTGTGTGTCCCTGTGTCCGTGTGTCTGTCTGTGCCCCTGCATGCCCTGTGTGTATGGGTGTGTCCACGTGTGTGCATGTGTTCGTGCGTGCCTATCTGGGGGACGGTGTGTGATGTTTCTTGTGTCCTCGTGTGCGTCCGCATGTCTGCGGGCCTGCGTGCGTGCACCCTCACCTGCACCCTTGGGTGTCTCCCCACAGGCAGCCGCTTCATCCTGCTGGAGGGGAGCCAACTGGACGCCAGCGACTGGCTGAACCCTGCGCAGGTGGTGCTGTTCTCTCAGCAGAACTCCAGCGGGCCCTGGGCCATGGACCTGTGTGCTCGGCGCCTCCTGGACCCCTGTGAACACCAGTGTGACCCTGAAACCGGTAGGCAGGACTCTGAGTGGGGAGGGGGGGTCACCGAGGTCTCAGGCCACTGGCTTTCATCTCTGCTTGGGCCCCCTTTGCACCTCAGAGTTTCTCCTGTGTCAACGATGAGTTAAGCCCCAGAGTCAGCCCTTACAGATGCCTTGTCAGGGACCCAATAAGGATCCTGCCAGGGGTTGAGGGAGACCAGTGCGTCTAAGATGACCTCTCTGAACTCACCCAGCCCACTGTCCGTCTATCCAAGCTGTGCTTTGGGGGAAGGGGAGAAGGCGCTAATTCTGTTCCCCGAAAGGCAGGACTTTTCATTCCTGTTTATTGCGCCTACAAGTTTTCTCATCTCCAAGTGTTAGCAACGCTCATGGCAGAAAATGATAATCATCTCCCTCCTGGAGAAATCAATCCCTTCTCAAATGTCAACATCCTCCCATCCTCTCCCTTCCCTGTGCGTGATTCTCAGAGGATTTATACACCCCCCAACCCTCTTGGATTTTCCCAGTCTTTTCTTGGAATGTTCTCGAACCATGAAATACCCCCCCACTCCCCGCAGCGCGTGACCGCTTGGCATCTGTCTTTAAGCAGACGTTGTCGCTCTTTTCAATAGCCCCCCTGTTATTTGACATTTAGACTCTTTACATTTTTAGCTTTTAGGACTTCTCCCCCACCGACCGTCTCTCCAGTGTAAATGCAGGTCACAGTTGAAGCGCTTTCCTTCTGATAACCCTCAGATGGGAGAGGTCCGAGATGGCGGGTAGAGGCATCGTACAGACTTGCATATTGTCAACTGGAACGGGAGGTCCCCAGTTCTGAACCTGACCTCCAGGAAACCCTGGAGGATTCCTTGAACCTTCAGCGATCCAGCACCTACGTTTCCAAACAAAAAGGTTCTGCATTTGCATACACAAGGCTTTGTCCCTGGGGATGCTGAGATGGGGAGCGTTATTCAGCACCACGGACAGCGCCTTCCGAGCTGGCGCTTTTATAGGGCTCCACACTGTCTAGACCCCACCCCCCCACACCGGAAATGTGACTGGAATCTAGGGGCGTTTCCTTCCAGCTCTCCCTCCCTCGAAGACAGACACTCCAGCATACACACGCCACCCTGCAGACGTGTCTTCAATGACTGGGACCTAGAGATCTCAGTAGAGGCGGAGTGTAAGAGCTAGCGTCCAGGTGCTGGAGCCGTAGCACAGTGGGTAGGGCCTTGCACGCTTGCATGCGGATGACCCGGATTCAATCTCCAGTATCCCATAGGGTCCCCCGAGCACCGCCAGGAGTAATTCCTGAGTTCAGAGCTAGGAGTAACTCCTGAGCATCTCTGAGTGTGACTCAAAAAGAAAAAAAAATCCTAGAACAGGGGCTGGAGCAATAGCACAGCGGGGAAGGCGTTTGCCTTGCGCGCAGCCAACCCAAGTTCGATTCCCACCATCCCATATGGTCCCCTGAGCACTGTCAACCCCTGTGCATCACCAGGTGTGACACAAACGCGCACGCACACACACATACACACACACACACACGAGTTAGAGCCCAGAACTTGGGTTCCAAGCACTGATTCTACCCCGATGGAGGCATCTTAGTCACTGCAGGAAGCTCCCCCTTTTCTGGCCTAGATTCCCCGCCCCCGCCCCCTAGATCCACTATAGACAGTCTGCGCCCCCAGCTGGAGGAGAAGGAACAGTCTCTTGAGTGGCTGATGGCCACGCCTTGGCGGTCTGCCGTGTCCCCGTGCTGAGCAGATGGTTTCTCTGCTTTGCACCCACACCCGCACCTGTGGGCAGAAGCCAGCCCGGCTCAGGTCACAGGCGGATTCTCTCCAGGCAGTCACGCTGTTGTGTTGGGGGTCCGCCACCCCCACCATTCCTCACTGCTGAATTGGATTCTGGAGACCTTCTCTGTTGCATTTTTTTTTAAATCTTTTGTTTGTTTGGGGTCACACCTGAAAGTGCTCAGAGCTGACTCCTGGCTCTGCACTCAGGGATCACTCCTGGTGATGCTCTGGGGACTCTATGGGATGCCAGGGATCGAACCTGGGCTGGCCATGTGCCAAGCAGATGCCCTCCCCGCTGTGCCATCGCTCCAGCCCCCTTTGCTGTTGTTAAACTGGCTTCTAGGGACTGGAGTGATAGCACAGCAGATAGGGCGTTTGCCTTGCGCGCTCCTGATTCCTAGCATCCCATATGGTCCCCTGAGCACCGGGTTCGATTCCCAGCATCCCATAGGGTCCCCCAAGCACTGCCAGGAGTAATTCCTGAGTGCAGAGCCAGGAGTAAGCCCTGAGCATTGTCAGGTGTGACCCAGAAAGGAAAATAAAAAGGACCCTCGCTTCTAAGGGAAGTGTACCATGCTGCTTTAAAAACCTCTCCTGGGGTTTTGAGGAACGAGAGACCCTTTGAATGCCCCAGTGAGGACGGCATTGATGTCTTCTCAGTGTGGAGGGGTCTGCTCCTTGAAAAAGGGACGCAATTGGCCAGAGTCCCATGGCGACCCCAGACCCAGTCTGTGTTCGTGAAATCACAGACAGGAGAGAATGGGGGCGGGGCGGGGCTACCTTGTGGTTCCGGGCTTGTCAGAGCCAACACGTTTGTCACTCAAGATGGCCCAGGTGACAGTGTAGCTGATGTGTCCACTTCCTGTACCAGGACCTGGGGGCACAGCTATTCCATGCATGGGTAGCACACCCCAGGTACATCACACTCATTCACAGCACACACGTAACAGACGCAAACACAACCGCATAACACACGAGCATGCATTCCGCATGAAAAAAAAACTTGCACACGCACAACACACATGTCTACATGCAACACACATGTCCGTGTGTGGGCGGTGGGCTGAGCCAGCGTCGGGTCCCTTCCACGTGTTCCATCTCACACCTGATGGAGACCACGTTGGGAATTCCCTCCATGCAGGGGTTGGGAGGCTTGGTACCCATCATTTATACACATGAATGAACTTCTTATTTATTTATTTATTTATTTATTTATTTATTGCTTTTTGAGTCACACCTGGTGATGCACAGGGCTGACTCCTGCCTCTGCGCTCAGGAATTACTCCTGGCGGTGCTCGGGGGACCCTAAGGGATGCCAGGGATCAAACCCGGGTCGGCCGTGTGCTAAGCAAACGCCCTCCCCACTGTGCTATCACCCCAGCCCCTAGTTTGCTTTTTATTTATTTATTTATTTATTTGCTTTTTGGGTCCCACCTGGCGATGCTCAGAGCTGACTCCTGGCTCTGCGCTAAGGAATCACTCCTGGCGGTGCTCGGGGGACCCTATGGGATGCCGGGGATCGAACCCAGGTCGGCCGCGTGCCAGACCAACGCCCTCCCCGCTGTGCTATCGCTCCAGCCCCCCCGTGAATGAACTTCTGACTGGAGATTCCACTGGGCTGAGACCTGCCCCTTCCCACCCCAGCTGAGAGATTAAGCTGCAGCGTCCTGATTTCAGGGTGGTGACCAAGGAAAGGGTGCTGCAGCTTTCTTCTGGTCACCAGGATGGGGCGCCCACCCTGGCTCCCCACACCCTGCTCCCCGGTTTCCTTCTGCACAGTGATGAGGTGGCTGTCCCACCCACTCCTGGCTCAGACACTTTATCGTCTCCCACACTGCAAGCGAGTCTTTCTCCCTGGAGCCGAGTGTGGGAATTGGCTGCAAATCAAGTGGACGCTATTTTTGTCAGCCTCCGGCAAGCATCCTTGGAAATACCGCGCTGATACTGTGCGCTTTCCCAGCCGGGCCGAGGGAACTGCACGCGTGGGGGACGGGGGCTGTGTCATGTCTATGAGCATACGCACATGCACACAACCCCACCATCCCTCACGCACGTCGTACATGCACAGGACATAGCACACACAAACACATCCAGACATGCCGTACACACGACACACATTCACGGCATGCACGCAACACGCGGAAACACATGTAGATAACAATAAGCGGGCATGCCACACATTGCGGGGGCACACCCCATACACATCACACGAATTCACAGCACGCACATAACACACGCAAACACACGCACATAACACACGGGCATGCATTCTGCACGGAAAAACTTGCAGACGCACAGCACAACACACACTTCGTATACATGTAACACACATGTCCATACTCCACACACAGTGAGTGTCCTCTGATAGGCCCAGCGGACGGCAGCTGATAGCGTTCAGGGCCCCACAGACTCCTCCTGGCTCAGACACTCTTCCCTGGACCATGGAACCTGTTCATTTTTCGTGGGATTTTTTTTTTTATCTTTGAAAGAGGAAATAGCGCTCAGTGCTCCCTCTACACTTAGAAGTGTCCTAGAGGGCTAGAGAGAGAGCACAGCAAGGACGGCATTTGCCTGGCACACAGTCGACCTGGGTTCAATCCCCAGCATCCATAGGGTCCCCTGAGCACCTCCAGGAGTGATTCCTGAGTGCGCGAACCAGGAGGAATCCCTGAGCATCGCCAGGTGTGACCCAAAAAGCAAAACAAACAAACAAACAAAAAGAATTAGTGGGTTTGTGGCCCCAGCAATAGGACAGTGGGTAGGGCATTTGCCTTGCACGCGGACAACCCGGGTTCGATTCCCAGCATCCCATAGGGTTCCCCTAGCACTGTCAGGAGTGATCCCTGAGTACAAAGCCAGGATTAATCCCTGAGCATCACCAAAGAGCTAGCGAGAGAGAGAAAGAGAGCACTTTTCCATGTGTCTCATGACTAGGGAGCTGAGTTGCTCACCCCCTGACCTCTTAAAGTGGGACCATTTTTGTAAATCTCAGAAATTCTCTGATCTGACTTGCAAACAGAAGAAATTTGAAAACCATTCCCTTTTTTTCATGTTTCTGGAGCTAGCTTACTCGTTCCAGCCCACACAGCATTGCCTAAGGAAATTTGGGGGTTTTTATTTGGGGTGGGAGCCACATTCACCCGTCTTGGGGTGCTGCTTCTGCCTCTGTGCTCAGAGATCCCTCCTGGCCATGCTCAGGGGACCCTATGCAGGGCAGGAATCAAACCAAGGTCAGCCTGTGCTAGCTTTCTGGGCCTCAAGTTAAAAATACTTGAGGACTGCCCTAGAACAGATGAGTGGTTAGAGAAACTTCGGTACATCTACGCAATGGAATACTATGCTGCTGTCAGGAGAGATGAAGTCATGAGCTTTGCTTGTAAATGGATAGACATGGAGAGTATCATGCTAAGTGAAATGAGTCAGAAAGAGAGGAACAGACATAGAAGGACTGTCCTCATTTGTGGAGTATAAAACAACATAACATGAGGCTGACTCCTAAGGACAGTAGGTACATGGGACAGAGAGATTGCTCCATAACTGGAAGCCTGCCTCATGGGCAAAGGGGAGAAGGAAGCTGGAATAGAGAGGGGATCACTAGGAAAAAGATGACTAGAGGAATCGGTCAGGATGGAAGATGTGTGCAGAATGTAGATAAAGGACTAATAACCTCTCAGTATCTGTATTGCAAACCATAATGCCCAAAAGTAGAGAGAGAGAGTATGGGGAATCATGTCTGCCATGGAGGCAGGGGGAGGGTGGGAAATGGGGGTTATACCGGGGATATTGGTGGTGGGGAATGTGCACTGGTGGAGGGATGGGTGTTCTATCATTGTATGACTGAAACTCAAACATGAAAGCTTTGTAACTGCATCTCACGGTGGTTCAATAAAATTTAAAAAAAATACTTGAGGAAGGGCAGAGAGAACACATACAGGAGTCCCAGCCCCTGCCCTACATGGGCCCCTGAGCACTATCTCTGGAGCAACCACTGAGTATATCCCCAAGACAAACCAACAAAAGAAGCAGAATGTGATGGATGCAGTTCTGTGCACTCCGGCCCATTTATTGAGCACCTACTATAGAAACTGGGGAAAAAAACACACACAGAGCTCCGTGCACAAGGCATTGCTGTGGGTCATCAGGGAACAGGAAGACAAGGTGCTTTGGAGACAGCCCTCAGGCCTGACTGTGAGCAGAACGGAGAAGGGGAGGGGTGCTTGTTTGCTCTGTGGTGGGGTAGCGGGATCAGGAAACAATGCATTTACTGGCTGGCTCAGCGGTGCTGGAATTCAATCCTTGTGTGCTCACTGCCCCCCCGAGGGTGCCCGCTAACCCCCTTCTTTCTCTTTCTCCCCCCTGCTGCCTGCCAGGCGAGTGTCTGTGTTACGAAGGTTACATGAAGGACCCAGTCCACAAGCATCTCTGCATTCGGAACGAATGGGGCGCCAACCAGGGGTAAGTGAGCAGACACCCCAGTCCCAGCTTGCTCACTTCCCACAATGTGGCCCAGGGGCAGTAGGGTGGGCTGGGCTGGGCTGCTCATTGGCTGGGTTGAACTCAGCAGCACATCCGTGAGGACACAGTTCCTCAGCGTTTCCGAGTTTCTACCGTGACACAGTTCCTCAGTGTTTCCAAGTTTCTTCCGTTCCCGTGACTTCTCTATTTGTTAGTGTTTGCGTGTGGGTGTGCCTCAGAGACCCCTAGAATCTAGCTAGGAGCTGAGAACCCAGCAGCTCCTTAGCTGTACCACATGTGGGACTTAGATTACGGCATTGGGAACGGGTTCGGTTCTCCTGCTAGAGGTGACATGTGAGTCACCTTGCGTGCGTGGCCTTAGGGAAGAGAGCACTTTGACACAATTCCCTGTAGGAGCACAATAAAATAGACTTCCACTCAGGAAAGAGCTCACCAATGGCGGCAGTGCAGACCCTCTCCGGGCTGAACACTGCCAACAGCTACCGCCCCCGAGCACTGAGCTCGGAGCAAGTTTTCCCCAGCACGGTCAGGATGGACCCCAAATAAACATCAACAACAAATGCAGATATTTATAAACACACACACGCGCCTATACGAGTCCACATGTCTCTTGCTTTAGATTTTGACATTTTGAATTCCGAAAAAAATGTTTTCTGTGGCAGGCTAGAGCGATAGCACAGAGGGTAAGGGCGTTTGCCTTGCACGTGGCCAACCAGGTTTGATCCCAGCATCCCATATGGTCCCCTGAGCACCCCTGGGAGTAATTCCTGAGTGCAAGAGCCAGGAGGAACCCCTGTGCATCACTGGGTGAGACCCCAAATTGGAGCGATAGCACAGTGGGTAGGGTGTTTGCCTTGCATGCGGCCGACCTGGGTTTGGTTCCTCCATCCCTCTCGGAGATCCCGGCAAGCTACTGAGAGTATCCCGCCTGAACGGCAAAGCCTGGCAAGCTACTGGTGACGTATTCGATATGCCAAAAACAGTCACAACAAGTCTCACAATGGAGATGTTACTAGTGCCCACTTGAGCAAAATCGATGAACAACGGGAGGACAGTGCTACAGTGCTACAATTTCCTGTGAGGCCACAGAGATAACACAACTGGGAGGGCGTTTGCCTCTAGTCCTAACTCAGAGCCCTGCCAGGAATGATCACTGAGCACAGAGCAAGGAGTAAGCCCTGGAGCACTGCTGGGAGTGGTCCCCTGGGAAGAATTTTATGTCATAAAATAGATAAATAGGAGATTTATTTAGCATTTCTTCCTTCCTTTTGTCCTTTCCTTCATTTCATTTTTTTTTTCACTTTTTGGGTCACACCCGGCAATGCTCAGGGGTTCCTCCTGGCTCTGCACTCAGGAATCACTTCTGGCAGTGCTCGGGGGACCCTAGGGGAGGCCGGGGTTCGAACCCCGGTTGGCCGCGTGCAAGGATTTTTTTTTTTCAGTCTTAAAATCAAGTTCCCTCTCTTGCGTACCTTCAGAGTGATTTTCTGCTGCGTTCCACACGCTGAGAGCTTACTTTTCTGCATCGACCCGGTCCTGGGGAGGGCGGAAGGAAGAAGGGCTGAATAAAGTTAACTCATACTCAGTACCAATCTACACATCGGGGGACATCCATCTTGGCGTGACTGGTTGGAAATGTGCTGGCGTGAGAAGGTGGCAGAAAGCCCTACCGTTTCCATTCGCACATCGCCACCGAGGGCTTGTCCCCCTGGAGGAATGATCAGGGCCTTCTGAGAGAGTCTGATGAGACAGCCAGCCGAGAATATTGAGTGCCGTTGTGGGGTACCCGCGCGGCAATAGATACGGAGACAAATGGGTGAGCGTTGGCAGAAGACAGTAAAGATGATGGAAGGGCCCCAGGGAGTGATGGATGAGAGGGAGCTGGGAGAACTCGACTCGGAGAACTTGGCCAGCTGATGACTGAGTCAGAGCATGATCAATGCCCCCAGACGGCGGAAGAGGGCAAATGTTCCGGAACGGGTGAAGGTGGAGGGCTCTTAAGGACGGGTGAGACTGAAGCGAGGGGGAGGGAGGAAAACTCGCTGTGAATGGGAAGAAAGAGTGATGGGGGGGAAATCACTGTCACTCTATCGCTATCATCCCGTTGTTCATCGATTGACTCGAGCAGGCGCCAGGGACGTCTCCATCCGTCCCATCCCTGAGATTTTAGCAGTCTCTCCTTACTCGTCTTTCCCAACGCTGCCATGTTAGAGACTCTCTCAGGGACAGGGGGATGAACCCCCGTTATTGTTACTGTGTTTGGCATATCGAATAGGCCACGGGAGGTAGTCCCGTAAATCAAGGACTTGCTTTGTGCACTCACTGTCAAGTCACAGTGCCCAGTTTCATCCCTGGCGCTGCATATGGTCCACCGGGCACCTCTAGGGGGAGCCACAGAGCACAGATTTCAGGCAGTGTCCTTCCACTCAGGCAGGTGCGGATGGTCCCTTGCCCTCCTCTCTGCATGAAAACAATTTGTCATTTTGTCGTTTGTCATCCCGTTGATCATTGATTTGCTCGAGCGGGCGCCAGTAACGACTTCACTTGTCCCTGCCGTGTGCTAACATAGCCCAGTGACGTACTGGGGGCTCTTCCAGGGTCAGGGGAATGAGACCCGTTATCGTTACCATTTTTGGCATATCAGATACACAACGGGGAGCTTGCCAGGCTTTGCTGTGTGGGCGGGATACTCTCTTGACAGGCTCTCCAAGCGGGATGGAGGCTTTGGGGGCGGCCTCTAATTGCACACTAAAAGAATAATAAAATAAAAGTGAGATGCTTCTAGAAGGGGAACTACCTCCAGAGAGACCTCTTGCTGACAAACAGACGGGAAGGTCTGAGAGCTTTGGCTAATAGACTTCCGTCTAGACGGATAATGAACGTGGTGTGGCTTTGACTGCTTGGCGGGGCGGAGGGTGTCCTGGTTCTGTTGCTGTTCTTCATCCAGCTGCTGAATTTAGCTGCGGTGAAGACTGAGACTCCACTGATGGGTCCTTCTGGAATCACAAAGACCGTGCGCCCTAATGCGACCCCGAGCTCCCTCCAAGTCTGCATGCTTGGTACAGGAAGAAGCTGTGAGCACATTAGCCTTTCACAGGCTGGCTTCAGGTGGTGATTGGACGGATTTGGTGGCTGGTGGCTGAAATGTCCCCATCCCCAGCCCTGTAGACAGATGCTGAAACAGGCTTGCCTGGGGAGAATTGCACCCGTTTTGTTCTGCCTTGTGTAGAAACAGTCTAAGGGTTTAGACAATTCTCCGAGGAAACGGAGCCGGCTGTGGGCGTGCCCGTGTGTCGTTGAGAACCAGACGGGCTCAAGTGGTGCCTTCAAGGCTGACAGACACGTTAGCCCCAGGAAACAGACACCGAGTCCCGATCTGTCGTTTCCAGCCCTAATTTCCATTATTCTGATCAGGCCTGTCCACGCAGTCGCCTTCTGGACTCTAATACAATAACGAACCGACTGGAGGGGTGGCGGTAGGGAGGGGCGGTGGGAAGGATGATAAGTAGCCGAGTTTCTATCTATAAAATTTTTTTTTTAAAAAAAGTGCCAGACAGCTGAGTGCTTTCCTTCCGAAAATGACAGGGGAGATGAAAAGTGGAAAGTGCCGCACGTCTTGATTTAAACCAGAAGCCTGATGCCAGGTTTGTTTGAATGGTTCTTCCAAAGCGAATCGAAGTTGATTTGAACGTTCAGACTGTCTGTTGCACTGGGAACCAGCTGACAGTATGCCAGCCCGAATCACCCAGACTGGGGGAGTCGGGGGTGTCACTGGGAGCTCCGATGTACCCGAGTCTCTTCTCTGATGTTCCAGAAGGAAGCGGGAGTTGGGTAGGTCAGAGGTTGAATCGTACCTGGTGGGAAAGGTGATGTGATGAGACTCAGAACATTAGCCATAACGGATCCTGACTTAGAGACCAGGATAAAATTAGACCAATGACTCCTCCAAAGAAATTAGCCATGGGGGGCTGGGGTGATAGTACAGCGGGGAGAGTGTTTGCCTTGCACACAGCTGACCTGGGTTCGATCCCCGACATCTCGTATGGTCCCATGAGCACTTCCAGGAGTGATTCCTGAGTGCAGAGCCAGGAGTCAGCTCTGATCATCTCCGGGTGTGATCCAAAAAGCAAAAGGAAGGAAGGAAGGAAGGAAGGAAGGAAGGAAGGAAGGAAGGAAGGAAGGAAGGAAGGAAAGAAGGAAGGAAGGAAGGAAGGGGAAGGAAGGAAGGAAGGAAGGAAGGAAGGAAGGAAGGAAGGAAGGAAGGAAGGAAGGAAGGGGAAGGAAGGAAGGAAGGAAGGAAGGAAGGAAGGAAGGAAGAAAGGAAGGAAGGAAGGAAGGAAGGAGAAGGAAGGAAGGGAGGAAGGAAGGAAGGGGAAGGAAGGAAGGAAGGAAGGAAGGAAGGAAGGGAGGGAGGAAGGAAGGAAGGAAGGGGAAGGAAGGAAGGAAGGAAGGAAGGAAGGAAGGAAGGAAGGAAGGAAGGAAGGAAGGAAGGAAGGAATTAGCCATGGATGTTTCTGTGAGGTGTAGGCTACCTATAACTTCATCACCTCTCTTCCCTGTCCTGTGGTTTGGTTTATGTAAACCTGTGTGAGTGTGTGTGAGTATGTGTGTGTGTGTTTTCCAGAGGTGGTATGTCAGTGGGGAAGGAGAAATGTGTATAGTGCGTGATGGTTTATTTGTGGTTTGTGGGTTATCTGCGTGCAGTTCATATGTGTATTTGTGTGTAGGATGTGTGTATTGTACTGTACAGTGTGGGGAGTGTGTGTGATGAGTATGTATGTATGTGGGTGCATGCATATATGTTGTGTATGTGAGCCCGAGGTGGTGTGTCGGAGGTGAATGTGGTCAGTGCATATGTGTATGTGTGCAGCGTCTTTATGTGGTCCGTGTGGTGTATATTGTGCATGGTGTGTGTGAATAGTGAATGTTTGCTGTATATTTGGTGTGTGTACTGTGCATATATATCATGTATGCATGCT